CACATGAACTTAAGGAAAAATTTCTTAACAGTGAGGGTGACAGAGCACTGGAACAGGCTGCCCAGAGAGGTTGTGGAGTCTCCTTCTCTGGAGATCTTCAAAACCCGCTTGGACGCAGTCCTGTGCCACGTGCTCTAGGTGACCCTGCGTGTGCAGGGGGGTTGGACTAGATGACCTCTAGAGGTCCCTTCCAACCTTAAGCATTCTATGATTCTCTAGTATTGTTGGCATGTCTATACTTGAATGTATAAATTGCCATTCAGCCCACAAAGACTTTCTCAGGAGCCGTGCAAATGTGTGCAATAATCTTCAAAGGGACTTCAGGTGCACTGGAGCTCAGCTGAAGTCAGCCAGCTGCCCAGCAGACAAACCTGTCCTTGGAGGCTCACGACAGAGAGAGGCTTGTGATACAGCCAGGTCTGCTGGGATGGAGAGGACCAAGCCAAACCTGTGCAGGAAGGCTCCTGTGGCAGCGCCGCGGCTCCCAAGAGCACTGCTGCTGCCTGTGCTGCAGCTGCACCTCGAGGCCTCCTCTCGGCCAGCCCCATGCCCCTTTGGACTTGGGCACAGGATCTGGATGTGAGAGAACATGCACCACCCCAGAGCCTCCCTGAAGCTCTTTAAGTGTCTTCCTGTTCAAGATTTCCCTTTGCCTTGGCTTGAAGAGGCCTTGACAGTGTGTTTGTAAACTCAGGTGAGGAGGGACAGAATGGGAGCAGAGGCTATTGCAATCCCTTAGTGATGCTGATTGAACCTACTGAGTTAATTCTGCGCTGATGAGTTTGCTAGTTTTAATTCATAGCACTGATGTTCTATACAAATATCATAAAAACAACTGTGTTTTGCTTTGTCCCACAGACACTATGTTATGGGATTCTCAGCAAAAGAAAGGAAATATTTTGGCTAAGTATTCCCAAGAGGTGGCTATAGTCCCAAACCAAAAGAGCATCCAAATTTCCAGATGTTCATATCCGGAGCCTGACTTTGGTTCAGTTCCGGTTATAGAGCAATACCTTTACATTTCTGTAAGCATTTTCTTTGATGAATGCCAGAGTATTATGCAAATATTAATCTACCATGATTTGCAATATCCTGTGAGGTAGGTACTATAAAACCTGTTTCACATATGGAGAGAAACAAGACCCATATGAAGCCGCTTGCTCAAAGGTCACAGGACACATTTTAAGATCCTTTTTCTGTTTTAATCCAAAAGTTGTCATCAACCCTTTTTTTTTTTTTTCCCTCCCTTTCAGGACATGACACTGAAATACATAATCAAAGCCCAGCTGAAATCCAGGGAAGTTTGGATGTGGGGTCAAGCCTCACCTAGAGCCCACAGCAGTTTGCGAGGGAAGCTCTTGTGATGGAAGCAGGTCCTCCACCAACCCCGGAGGTTTATTTGCTGTTTCCCATTGAGCAGGGTGCAGCATCCCCTGTTCTCTAGAGAAACACCTGAGCTAATGTTTAAGAAAAAAAGGCATGTAGGAAACAGCTGCAAAATTAAGCTCTTAAATCTGAGCTTCACATCTCCCGGCACTGCTCTCTCCCCCAACAGTCCATGAACTTGCCCGAGGCTGATGCCTCTCTGTGTGCTCCCCCACTGCTTTTTTAATTCTTATCTAGCATTATCTTATCTTTAGCCATTATGGTGCAAAATGCTACATTATTTGCTTACTGCCTGGAGCCAGCTCAGGCCATTTCCTCATTAAATTACAGCAGTCACAAGGTGAAAGTGAAACAGGTCATCAACATTTTTTCTAGGGATTTTTTTTTCTGTAATGTTCATTTTTCATGATATATTCATTGATCATCATAAAAAAACTTTTCCTTTTGAAATCTCACAGACCTTTGGGGACCAATCTAACTGCCATAGCAAGAAGAGATTCCCAAGAATTTGTTTACTAATATTCACCTGGAACAAGGGATGCTTTTACCTGGAATACTGTCAAGATGGCAGCAGGGAAGGTATCAAAGTTCGTGGTTGGTGTTTCATCTTGAAAGTTGAATCTAGAGAAATGCAAGAAACGCAAAAACAACAACAGTAAGAGACAAACAGTTCTGCTACATTCTCATAATTCCTCATAACACGAGACTGAAGGCAACATTTGTCCTGCCCAATGAGAACAGCCCAGGCAATTGCAGCAGAGGACATGGCATCTTGGAGAAAATGTTTAATAAAACTATTATGAAAAAATAAACTTTGGTGCTGGAAAAAAAATGATATTTTGATATTCATTTTCATTCACAATTTGAATGAATAAACAAATTCTCAAATGATATTGAGACACTAGTAATTCCTAGAAGTTCCTGTCCACAAATAAATTCAACATCAAAATTTCCCTCTTAGTAGGTCACTTCATTTTTTTACTGAAAGTTGTTGTTAATTATTTTTAAAGGCATTTGAAAAATTATTTTAATAGCTTGTAAAATTTCATGTAGCAAAATTAATCACAACTGACATTTCTTAGTGAAAAAAATCCGGTTCTACAAGCATGTATTTTTTTTCAGCGGAAAAACACTGCAATTGGAAAAAAAAAAATCTAGTTGTGGCAATGGAGTAAGAATTTACCTTTGCCCTCACAGCTGAGAAAGTGCTGTCTCTCCAGAACATATTTCAGAGATCTAGTGCACATGGGAATCATGGAATGATGCCAAGAGTTTTGAAGAAACTAAGAATTATAGCAGCTACAAAGAATTCAGCTTTTAGACATAAAAACTATTTCAGCAAAAGCTTTCCTAATGCTAAATATGCTTTGTTTTTAATTATTTTTTTAAAAAAATATGCTGAGATGCCAAGTTGACAGCCTTAAAAAGCGAAGTTTTCTATTTATATCTAGCCAGGATCCAGCCCCAGAAACAGCTATACCGGTAACCTTACAGCTTTCATTGATCTGCAGTCCTGAAGCAGCAGTTTTTAGCTTGTTGTTGTCCTTCTACTGGGAAGGGTACCTAAACAGCAGCTTGTCTCATATAAAGCAGAGATCATTTAACTGCAGCCTAGAGCCAAAAAGGTTCTGTATCCTCGATGCAAATCTTTTAGCCCTCCAGTCTCTTTCAACCTTGTGTATTCCAGATGACTGCTTTCAAATAACCACTGACAGGACAGAGATTAAACTTACTGTCCTCCAAAGAGCTGCATCCCCAGCAGAGCAAACACCACGATGAAGAGGAAGAGCAGGAAGAGCAGGCTGATGATGGATTTCATGGAGTTCAGCAACGAGACCACCAGATTTCTCAGGGAATTCCAGTACCTACATTGCGGATCAGAGCAGCCAAGAGATAATGTAAGTGGGAAGAAAAGTCCTTGGTGAGAAACCAGTACCATCTACTTTCTTAAAAAGGGAATGGCATGGGTTAAGGGATGAGAGCTTAGGGACAGGGATGCTAAGGGACAGCATCCTTTAATTCCCCCTTTGGCCTGTACGAATTCGCTGATGGTCCTCAGCCCTGTGTTTGCAGACTGACTCAACCCCACACTCAGACATTTAAACATTTCTGTGGAGGTTTAACGCACACATTTATGCACCTGCAATGTACAGGTGCCTTCAGCGTGGGGGCAATTTGGTCACACAGTTTGGCCACCCAGGGCCACTCAACCTCGGGAGATCAAGACTCATCAAATCTGGGGTGAAAGTTCCCACAAGACAAAAGGGAAGGTTCAGCCCAGACCCTGACCAACACAGGGGTCACACGTGGCCAGAAACCCAAGCTCAGTTTGCTTTCGCCCCCGCCTCCTTTCCTTGGAACCATCCTTGATTTCATCTCTTCTCACTCCTGCCCTGCACACATGCAGGGCAGGCCCAGAGCTGTGGTGGGCCTGGGCATGTCCTCAGAAATGGCCCTCTGGCCTTGTTTTACTGCCCTGTTGAGAACAGGCAGGGAACATTCATATTAGGAAAGCTAATGAATCAGAAAATGCAGAAAGAGCTATTAAAGCAGAGGAGCTCTTTAACAATCTCCTTTAGGACACACAGGCACGGGAAGCAACAAGGCCAGAGCAGCCAATGTGGAATGAGTGATTTGAAGTCATTTCACATGTCAAAAGTTAATGGTTTTCAATCTGAGACCATGGGCAGGAATTTTGCCAGCAAACTCGCTTTTCCTCTGATGACTTCCCTCTCCTGCCCTGCCTGGCCCTAGCAGTCGCCATCCGGAGGATGGTCTCCATGGCAACTTGCTCCTCCGTGCTCTGCGTATCCTCCTCCAGCAGCATTTTGGGGACAGACCCATGTTCTGAGCCTAGATGAGCCTGACAGGAGGCAGCCCATGGATCTGTCAGAACCCTCATGGGGACGGTGGTTCAGAGGGCAAGTCAGAAAAGCACAAACACTATCCTTTGTCTCAATTTTCCTTCTTTTTCCCCCACGATGTGCCTGAGAGGACCTCACATTTCCCTGCACAGTCGTGTCCTGAGCAAAGCCAGTGGCCAGGTCAAGGCTGAGAGGCAGGATCTTGCATGTCTGCTATAACCATTCCAAGAAAAGGTGTGTCCATAACATCGTGACAGAAAGTTTCTTGGCGAATTCTGTACTCATGGGAGAACCTGATCAATTTGAAGAGATGCAGTCACGCCTAGTCAGGATTATCCTCAACTGAAGGGGGCTAAAGAGGTCTCCCTGGAGAACAAGGAAGGGTTTTGCTGATCATTTCAATTTTCTTCTGCTTGACACAACGGCTTCAGGCAAAATCTGGCACCACATAGAGTTCCTACCGTTCAGTTAACTCAACTGGACACTAAATTCATGGGGAGGCTTTAGATGGTCCTGGAATAGCTCAGCACACATGGTTCATTTCAGCAGCAAACCACAGCTGAGTATAGAGCTCCAGGACATAATGAGGAGTTACATTTCTACAGATGTCAGTCCCTATTCAGCTTTGTCATGACAAAGAGGAAAACATGTTAGGCTATTTTCTCTCCTTGTCTCCCTCTCCGAATTTCAGTTCCTCTTGGATTGCGCTCCCTCTTAGTGCATCCTGCCGTGACCTTCACCGGCTGCTGTCATTTAACTTCCTAACTATCACACTGCTCTGCCTTTTGCCATCACACTGACATGGGCTGTATGAGGAAGAGGCTTTGAATCAAGCTCTAATACCTCCAATTATTCAAAGCAGAGTGGACTGCAATTGTCATCTGCTGAACACATTAAAGAGGAAAAAAAGCAGGAAGTTTCAGAGAAAAACTGCTGTGAAATATACAGCAGAAAAAAAAAAAAAAAAAACCAAGTAGGGGGGAAGTGGATGAAAAGCAAAAATGCCCAGAGTGAGGCCTTGCTTTCACAGCAGGGCTGGGATGAAAGCAGGCGGGCAGTATGCTCGTGCCTGGTGCTATGGCTTTGATACCTTTCTAAACTACATCCCACCACAAACGCTGCAAGAATCAGGGACTGCAGCTCAGACACTGGGCCATCTCTGCAGCACAGACGAGGGACCCTGCAGCTACAGCAGTCCCCTATCTCCTCGGGCCATTTCAGGGAGAGGATGTTGGCACAGGCAGATCTTGTGCTCACTAAGCAGCACTATGACTGCCTGTGGCATTAGCAATGCACTTTCTCACGGTGATAAAAGTCTGATGGGAGAAGAAAGGGAGCTGGACTCACTTTGTTACTTTGAAAATCCTCAGGAGTCGAAGAGCTCTCAATACACTGATGCCGAACGAGGTACCAGGTTTTACTGCAGCCCAAATGACTTCAAAAATACTTCCCACAATCACCTACAAAAAGAATACGGTTAAAAAAGAGAAAGAAAAAAAAAAGTATCTGCTTACGTCTTTGTGCTGCTGCTAGAGATGCTGAAGCTCAAGGAACCAGCAGGTCTTGGGCTACCATAGTTTTCTTAGGAAGACTGCTGGTGTGATTTCCAAGTTCATGAATTAGTCCCTTTCCCCACAGGAAAAACGAAACGTAACTGTTCCAACTTCGTAAACCTGTGCTGTCAGAAGCAGGATATACAAGTGGTCACAGCTGGGAACCTGCCTCGTTCTTCCCCTGCCTAGCAGACTACCTTCAAATAGCCCTTTTTGAAGGGCACGTTTATTTCTCCTCCGTCTTGGCTCGGCCACAAGCGCCAGCACTTGCCCAGCCCAGCCACAGGCCACGGGAGGAGGCGCAGGCGGAAGCGGCCATGTTGCCACCCCGCACAGCGCCGGGCAGCGACGCTCCTACCACAGCGCGCGGAGAGGCCGAGCGGCAACGGGCAGAGGCCTCAGCGCTCAAGCCCCCAGCAGGCCCATTAGGATGTTGGCTGTTAGGAGATCCTGGAAGGCTTTTAGCACGCACATCCCATCTGCTGCCAGATCTTCTGCCTTCATAACTTATAATATAATTCAGCCTTTAATATATAATTCAGCCTTTAATAACCTCTCAGATTATTAAAAAACCTGACCCTTATCAAGTTTTTTTTTTTTAAGGTTGGATTGTTCCGTTGTTTTTTAAAGTTAGCAGAAAGTTAACCTCAAGCTGCAAGGAAATCTGTGGATTCCCTCTATTACAAGAAGGACAAAATAGCAATGGGGTAAGTACAACTGGAAAGAGCAATTATGTAAGTATAGGTTAATAAGACAAGCATTTCACTCCCAATTGCTGTCATTATTTGTATTAAACCAGCATTTCGGAGCTCATGCAGACCAATGTCCTCAGTCGTACAAACCACACTACAAACACATAACCAGACTCCATTCAGCTGCTGATTCTTGTTGCAGAAATGAACTTTAATGGAAAGTCAAGAAAAAAAGATGCATGTCTGCGAATACCCAAATAGTGCAGTGAGACTACAAGCAGCTTGGAAGACCCCCTCATGAGCACAAACCTGGCCTCTTTGGAGAAATAAAGCACTGCTCACAGTAGTTCTGCTGAAACTTGAGCTTCAAGAAAAAGCTGAAAACCACAGGTGTACAGCAGTCACTCACCCACTCATTCTGATCACAATAAGGAATCAAAGCCTGTGTCCACAACATGTCATTTTTCAGATTCCCTCATCAATCACCAAAAAAACTTTCCTCAGATCTTCCACATTTTACATTGCTAATTCATTTCTAGCATCTCCACATGAGCTCTTGGGAATTGTTTCACATAAGACCCCAGTGGACTGATTCTCCCAAGACTGATGTCAGTCTGTTTTGTTGTTTTTCTCTTTGCTTTTGAACCATTTCGCCTTAATGGTTTGTCAGACTAAACCGACTACAGAACTGCGTGGTCTTCCAGTGGGGGTGAAGAAGTCAAATTAATTCTGGGTGCTGGAAGGTGTGTGAGGAGGAAGAAACATAGATAGAAGTAGGATCCCAATGGATTCTTTAAAAGAGGAAGAATTAGATCAAGAGCGACGCCTCTCGGGAAACACTCTGCAAAGCTCACTGCCAATGCTGTGCACACCACAGCATAACAGACAACTCACAGACCCAGAAGATTTATTTAATGCTTAATGCAAAGTTCTTAAATCACTTGTTCCTGACTACCTGGTGAAAGTTCTTGTGGAAGGAGCATTTGGCATACAAGGATACAGAGAAATCAGCAGCCAGCATGGGAGAAAGTTGGCTATACTCAGATGTGCCTCTTAGATGATACCTAACCTGTGACTGAAGGGCATCAATCTAGCTGCAGTCTCTAGACAATGCAAATGAGGCCATGATGCCTTAAAAAGCTAAGATTAGACAATATTGCATGTCTGCCTAATGCCTTTTACCCAGCACACAGAATTGAGTCCCGAACAGAGATGACTCTTGCAGTGGCTGCTTTAATCTCACTAGCTTGCTTTAACCTTACTAGCTCTGAGCTTTCCTGCGGACGCTGCCAAAAAAAGAAGCTGGATCTGCTGTAATCTTGGATTTAGGTAGGTGCGGTGGCTTAACAAAGGAAAAGATATCTCTTCTCACCATATGGGAATAGTGCTGAAGGAGTGATTTTTGACCCCATCAGCACCCTGGCACATAAAACACTAGAAAAAAAAAAACCAGACTATATCCACCAGAAAGCCTGGATGAAGGATGCAAGGAACCTTACTCTTTTTCTCTTGCTCATTGCCATGGCTGCATCATAAGTTACACAGACGCTTTAGTTAAAATAATAAAGCCTTACAGCCCGATGCCTACTCTGAGGTCCTGTGCATAGCCCACAATAAATACAAAAGAAGCTGAATCAACCTCTGTGAACACTGACTACAGCCTAATAGCTTTTAACAAATAAACTAACTTCTATGCACAATGTTTGTTATTAGATGGAATAAAAATGACCTATTCTAGTCACACTTTACAGCTATTGTTTGGCCTTGAAGGGGAGAACCTGTATGTTTAAAGGATCTGAGTTGCAGCCACGTTACCTATTGGTTTAGACCTCTACTTCTGGGCGCTCATGTCTGAAAAGTGCTGGCTATGTATCTTGAGGGAAAGGCCATTAAATGGATAATGGGGAAAAAGAACAAGATGGGTGGAGTTTTTGTCTTTCCGTCAGCTCATTTAAATGGGACAGAGAATCTCTGAGTAACCAGAGCATTTACTGGTGCTGATGCTCTGAGCACCCTCTAACTCAGCGAGGAAGTGCAACCCCCTGCCTGTCACATTTCTTCAAGAAGAATGATAACTAGGGGAAGCCTAACGTGCTTCGCTGCAGCTAATTTATCTGATGGCTACTCCCTGGGACACACACTGCTCCAGCACCATTTCCCAGGCATTCCCACACTCACCCGGAAACACTCAACCCTCTTCAGGGACGGGACAACCACAACTCGTCCACCCCGTTGATGCCTACTCACCCCAAAGTCAAAACAGTTGAATGAGGAATGGAAGTAATTTCTTGGCCCCAGTCCATACATCTTCAAAGACATCTCAGTGAGAAAGAGACCCAGAAAAACAAACTCTGCAAAATCTAGAAGTCAGAAAAGAGGTTAAATTAGTTTGCAGGACCTTGGTAGGCAGAGCTTTCCATGCAGAGTACAGCGCTGCTTCTTCACAGTACTGATTACCTCCTGCCAAAGGAAAGTCCCTTTGCAAGAGCAAACAAGACCCTGAGGACAGTTTCACATAATTATTCTATATGCACACGAGCTGTATGCAGCCTTCGAGGCCTGAGAAGGCCACGCTTCATGACTTTTGTGGAAAGGTTGGTATGTGAGCATAATATTCTCCTGGGGCCAATATTTCTGAAAATAATGTTTCGCAAATGCTCCATGAGACAAACATGTTTGGAAGCCGTGCGTATGCTTTCATAACATTCTCTTATGGTAAAAATACCTTCTTACCCAACAGAACTGCTCCCTGCATGAGCTCAGCCCAGAACTGATGGGTCTACTGTTAAGATAACGCCACATTTATTAAGCCTGCATAATCATATAATTATGGAAGTTTGGTTCCTTCTGCTGCACATGCCAGAGCGTGGCTGCGAAGCCTTTATCACTTGTGGTGAAAGGCAGGGCGGAGAGAGCCCAGTGGGAGTTTTCAACTTCCGTATCAATTTTTCTGCATTCAAAGTTACAGAAAACACTGTCTTTGGCATTTTAAGTTATGCAAGTTAGAACTGAGGGCCACCAAGCAGGCAGGGGACATCTCCTTCTCCTGTTGAGCCTTGAGCTCGCTAGGAAAAGTGTGTTCATGGCTGCCTCCGGCCACAACTGGCCTCGCTCCCACGGCAGCTCAGGGAGCAGACAGCTGTGTCCAGCACCCGGGATCCCAGAGTAGGGAAGAAGCCACCGTTTCACTGGCAATACATCTGAAGTGCAGAGCCTGTAAGGACTGGGCCAGATGAGGCATAAAATACAACACTTGACAAGTCTCACACTGTAAGAATACAGTTAAATTAAAAAAAGAAATAAAGGGAAAAAAAAAGGAAAAAAAATCCCACACTTCCAATGATACTGAACTTTCTTGCACACATTGCAATTGCCAAGCTGCAAGAAAGTAAGAAAGTCAGTCAAAGTTCTTAATTATCAGTAGCTGGCTCTGTAAGTCAGAAGTTTAGACCACAGATTGCAGGCCAAAACTTGAACTTTCAGGCCATACCCTATGTATTTTGGAAACAGTACAAGCAGAATGCACCACTGCTCTGATACAGCAGACATCTTCTCTGGGTATGCAAGAATTCCTGCGGCAGTTGGCACCCGTTCATCCCATTATGCGGAAAAAAAAAGCGTTTCTGCTGGCGAGCGCTGCTCCCTTGCTGGGAAGTTACTGCTCCCTCTTGGCTTCCTGCTCAGCGGCGCTTGGCCAGCCCCACAGTCCTTCTGGCACCGCTGCAGCGCCGAGGCCTCCTGTCCTGTCACCGAGGCCGATGTGATGCCGACGCCTTCAAACCCGCAGCCTGGTTTAACCTTAGCAAAGCTGATACCTGCAGGGAGGGTTGTAGATGGGGCCTGCAGGAAACCTTGCACAGCCTCCACCCCAGTGGGGAGATTTCCCTCTTCTTTTCAGGGCTGCCAGACCCATCCTGAAGAGCCACATTTCTGGTATACCAAGAATCGTTCATGGTATAATAAAAACACCAAGCAGTTTTTCTACTGCAACTTTCCTCAGTAGACCTCAGTGCACTTCATCATCATTTTTTGTAACAAGGAAAGAAGACTAAAGACTAAACCCAAAATATGAGAGAAGCAGAACCTTCCTCTGTTGCCCTTGAAAGAAGAACCCAACATGCCCTTTCTCAAGTGACGACCCTTCCCCAGCAGAATTCAAACCAGGCAGCAATAGCTGCATCTCAGCAGATATCAGGTGCTACAAATCACAGCACGAGGAGTACAAGGATGGAGGCAAGGAAAATATGAACGTGTTGAACAACTTGGGCAAAAGGAATTGACTCGGGATGAATCAGTTTCTCCAGCTGATGGATCAGAAACATGATTTCTTCTGACATGGCCCTACCCACTTAATTGAAAACACAATTTTGCTGTTTGGACCTCGTGGTATTCAGATCCCACATGTAATCTAATCTGCCTTAAACAGAATCATTTTGTAATGTGATTTAAGAAAAAAAAAAGTTTGATACAAATACTCTAATTTAATTTAAAATTTGTGCTACTGGCAAAGGCCATGGTGGCATCCTTTTTGCCCCATACATTTGAACTAGATACTTAGTGGCTCTTTTTTTTTTTTCTCCATCATCAATAGATTAATTCCATTTCTGCATTGTCTCCAAGTCTGGTATCACTTGGGGCAGGTGCTGAGCCTATTGCTCTTTATTTGTTTGGGTTTTTTTCTTCCTCCAGTACATTAACCTCAACCAGGAGGAGAACCTCTAACTTACTCCTCTCCAACAACGCAGACATGAAACGTTCAGCAGACATAAATAAATACACTTGTTTCAGAAAGCCTCTTCCTCTCAATTGCATATGCTGCATATTTAAATCCAGAGGGAGCTGCCTATCTACTTCAAAGGCAAGCACAGTATCATCAGAAAGGTCTAATTGCATAAAACACATGGTTCAGCACAGTGCAGCACACTGAGGAGAGGTTCTCAGGCCTTAATGGATAAAATATTGTTTCAAATACTGTGCTCATCAGCAAGGAGATGTTCTGGATCGTGTTTTTACGTGGCTACAATTGTAGAAGCCAGTTAAACTGGAGAAGCTCTTCGCTGAGGGCAGCCCTAGAAGGAGGAAGCCTGACAAGAGGGCTCCTTCCCCGGGTGAGGAGCTTCCATCCGCGCCCGCTTCCCGGCCAGCCGGCAGCAGCACCTGCGGCTCCAGCGCTGCCCTGGCCCAGGGCCTTCCAGAGCTTTGGCTGCGGTGGGAGCAGAGGAGACGAACCTTCCTCCTGCGGCAGGCACGTGTGTGGCTGCTCCTGCACCATGCTCGTAGCAGCTCAAACTACAGAGACGTATTTTCAAGAGACAGTCCTGACTGCAACCCCTTGAGCTGCAGCTCCGCGCCGGGCCCAGGTTACTGAGGCCCAGGTAACTGAGGCCCCCTCCTTGGGGCCTTGCTGTGCTGGATTAAGGAGCTGTATTCTCATAGAAGCTTTTCTTTTCTGACAATAACAGCAAAGGGGAAAGCTAATGCAAACAAACAGCGATCACAGGTGGCTGTAAGAAAGACACACAGCTATTGAGAAATGCAACTTATTAAACCAAAGGTCCCTGCTTTAGAGACCAGAACGCGCCTGCACCAAAGCGCAGCATGATAATGCTCCTGTTGTAATGTGCACTGGAGGCCTTTCCATAGAGGAGGAGAATTAGATCTCCAGTCTAATCTGGGAATGATTATGGGGCATGGCGTGTATTCTGCTATTCGCCATACCCTGAGAATTCAAAGAATTTCTCACGAGGGTGGAACACAGCTGTTTCAGTGACACTAAACAAACTCCAAGTCTTCTTCTAAAGCTCCTGCAATTCATTTTTCAAAGTAGTTGCACAGAAATGAAATATCAAGCAGGGAAAGCTAATCAGAATGATTCAACAACAGAAAAATTAAAAGAAAAGAGGAAGGAAGGAAAAATAAATCAATGCAAGCCTGTAGGCTTTTTCTAGCCATTCTTTAAGTAAAATTAATTTGTAATGTAATTAAATGCTTGCCCAGAGGGACAGGTATAATTGAATTAGAGGTGCCTGGTACAGTGTCAGGATTTAGTGGGTCCTCCCAGACTTCACTCCACTCCTCTCTTCTGCTGCTGTAGTTCCCAGAGCTCCCCACCGGCTCCATTAGAAGCATCCTCCAGCTAACAGCACAATACCAAACATTTCTCTTGCTCTGTATCAGACACCCAGGCCCTGTTCCTCTGTAGCTAGGTTCACTCACCATGGATTAACTTTAAAGCTATTTTTTCAAGTCTGCCACTCTTACAGTGAAAGGATTTTACCAAGATTTTCCAGGAGCTGTCTAAAATCCCATAGTTTTATGCTATATTGTTCTCCCTCTATCGAATGGATTTGTGAATGAGTCTTGGACAGAACAAGACTTTCAAGGAGCTCTGCTCAAAGGCTGTGCCACAAAGGGACTTGTGCGCAAACATATTTGATGCAGGGGTTATCAAGCTGGCTGCACATCAGTATATGCAGGAGGGAGAGGGACCAACACAGTGTTACTGTAACAACAACAACAACACGACCGCCAAGAGACCTGCAGCCACATGTATCTTGGGCACAGAACAGTCCCCGCGTTTAACCACAACCCCGGGAAGATGGCCAGAGACACCACGACCGCCAAGAGACCTGCAGTCACACGTATCTTGGGCACAGAATAGTCCCCGCGTTCAACCACAACCCCGGGAAGATGGCCAGAGGCCTCCAGGACATTACCAGTGAAAAGAGAGGTCTAAACACAAACACTACAGCCTATCTTCCTAAAGGCTAGGAGTGTCTGGACGTGTGGGACACTAGCAATTTAAGAGGTTGAACATGCAAATCATTTCATCTGACTTTTTCTTTTGAATTTTACCTATTTTTAAAGGGTATCTTCTCAGCATTTTCATCTTATTATGCTATAGAATAATCAAAGCAAACACATGGCACCTCGGGTCTTAAAAAAAGTGTCCCACCTCTTATGCATGTGTCACCCCACACCATTTCCAGCGTTGCTTGCAGCAGTACATCCCTGTGCTGGTTAACTAGCATTTCTTTCCCTGACCCTTGGGGACTGGGTTGTGAAATGCCTCCCCAGGTGCTTCCTCACCACCAGAGACCTTACCAAAGTCTAATAGAAAAATGTCCGTGCAACAACAGAAAGCCACAAACAAGGCAGAACAGGAAAAATGAGACACACAGAGAGAACATTTCTGTCTGGGATAATACTGATATTTAAACCCTGAGAACACACAGCTCAATGACACAAGACAAATTCAACCTTTCATGTCCTCAGCTGAGGTAGGTTGGGTGCAGAGTTTACAGCCTCTATTCTAGTTGTATTTCCCTTGCAAAGATGCACATTTAACTCTAATCAATTAAAACACTCCTTCCAATTCTCATATGAGCATTGAAAGAGTCTGCTGACTCACAGATTTCTTTATGTTCTCATAGGAAAGTTACTCCTAAGGTGCTCCCAAAATGGAGTTCAGAAATTTGAAGTCTTCCTTGAGTTGAAAAACTTAAAGTCTAAGACATTTAGTTCTAATTTAAAAGGAAATCCTAAGTCTCAAACTTCTAATTACTCTGCCAATCTAGCTTATTATTTTCTCTATTTAATTTAGGAAATGAATAAGCAAGACTGATTTTTCTGTGTGGCCTCCCTTTTAAAATTAAATCTTGCAATAGAAAGAGTTGAAAGGAATTTTTCTCCTATCGATGAATCGCGCATTACTGCTCCAGTTACCTGCTGGTATCAAATATTTCGACAAACATTAACAGGGACAGTTTTGAAGTCAGACTAACTAGCAGCCTGAACCTTTTGGATCTATAGTTTTTTTTTAAAAAAAGAGTGCTTCAAAAATTTCCCTCTTTATATTAAGATCAGACCTGAGCATACCAAGCAGGAAATACTTAAGCATATAATTTATCTAGAAATAAATGAAAGTTAGGTAGTTTAGTATCTTTAAGGATTTAAGCCACAGTTTTTTTAGTCAGACAGTTTAAAATATTTGGAGTCTTTTCTCTTGCTTTCGAACCTTTGCCTGACAAATTTTGAATTAGCCACATCTGAACAGCAAGTGCTGGACGAAAGATTTGATCCTATTAGAATCCAGGCCAACTGTTGCAGAAACAAACCCTCCAGCCCTTCCCTTCGTTTGGGGGAAAGCATTGCTATGTCCCATTCTCAGTGTCACCATACTCTTAATAATCTCAGTTTATACAAACTTCCAGTTTTCCAGCTCTGGAAGTCACAAGCTACAAATTTATTGAAAAAAGCTGTTCACCTCTCATTCTACCTTCTGTTAAGGAAGGCTTCACGAGCAAGGCTGCAATATGTGAAGGATCTAAACCACAAGAAGTTGTGTCCATTGACTATTCATTATAGGACAAAACAATATGGAATTAAAAAATACCTACTTCAAAAGCACTTACCTGAAGCCTGAACCGATAGGTCACTGCAAATACCAAGCAAAAATAAAGCTCTTGCACAAGTTATCTGCCTAGTATGTAAGTATTGTCTTATTTCTTTCAGCACGGCACAATTTTTCACAGAAGGGCATCATGACATTTATCCCATCTGATCATGTATCATTATTATGGAAAATACAGTTATCAAAAAAGGCTTTCTGCAGAGTACTACCTTCTAAGGAAAATGACAATAATTGCTGAAAGTATCGTGAATTACTTTATGATTATGTAAGCATTATAGGTTGCTTTTCTACCAAGTAACACTGGCCATTGCACACACTTTTGTCCCAGTGTCATCAGTGCTGGCAGAGATTTATGTATTTCCACAACACAAACCATGCACAGATGCAGATCAGCCGCAAAGTGTCGTGAATTCTGCGGTTCCCTGGACAGCTACTGATTAGTCAGAGAAATCTGCATGTACCGAGGTGCATATTCATTCCCCCTCCTTTAATAACACCTGCTTTATAACAAATCCTCCCGCAGTGTTAAAAGATCTACGTGTCCTTGAATCTGAAGTTTCGGCTAAGTCTCAGATCACGTTCCTATGCCATCTCACACCAGTATCACGTCCTGGGAGGTTTTTTTTCCTGAATCTTAATCTCGAGTTACTAGAACTGCTCACTAATACATTCGTGGTTCTGCTGAGTAAGCCACAGGGAGCTGCAAAAAGAGACCGTAGGCAGCGAACGCGACGGAGCTGCCTCCTCGCACGGGGGTGGCTCTAGGCACAGTACTCACAGAGAGCAGTGGTGAGCTTCTCCGGCTGGTCGTAGTGGACCATGGCAACGCAGAGTGTGTTGAGGGCAACTACGCAGAGCACAACCCAGTAGAAGCTCTGAGCTTTCACCATGCGCCGGATGAAGAAGCGGAACATTTTCTCTTTCCTCCGGAAGTAAGAGGAGCTCTCGGTCTTCCCGCTCTTCAGACTTGCACGGGCGAAGGGAGACCCTGGGCATTGGGGGACAGAAAGAGCCATCACTGCGCGGCACCCAGGCAGGTGAAAGGAGGGAGGAGATTCATGCACAGGACAAGCCCTCACTCCCCAACCCAGATGCGCTGCTGAGCAGAAAGCAGGACACGCTGAATGAACTGAACCAGGAGGCTTTGCTTGCACAGACATCATGAAGGATGAAGGCTGGGATTTTAGAACTTTATGAGCTGGTACCCAGCTCTGCCACCAACAGAAGTTTGCTTCCAACCCTTGAATGCGTAAGTGACTTGTAAACTTCGAGCTCCTGGTTGACCAGAGCAACAGAAACAACAGGCCCTGCAGCTCCCAGCACGTCTAGAACATGGTGAGACCCTGGGGAGCTCTGCCACATGTTGGGGAGCTCTCATGAAACAGCACGCGGGCACTGCTCGGGAGCACCTCGTGGCACCACAGCACGAGCGCTACTGAACCCCACCTTGCCAAAAACGCACACGAGTGTCTCAGCTCCCCACCACTCCCTACCCAGGGCAAGGGGAACAGCTCATTCGTGATCCCTTAGGGAGATGAACATACTCCGCTATAGCAGCAGCATCTACCCGAGGGGAAGAAGTCTGGCTTTCCTCTTGAGTTTCAGGGACCCTCACGGGCCTCGTGGACCAGTAAGCTGGCCCCTACCTTCCCTGACCTGAGCACAAGGCCGTGATCTAGGCCTTCCACTGCCAAAAGAAAAGGAATGTCCTTATTCTACTCTCCCATTTCATCTGTCTCCATGGAACAGGGCTCGGTCTGCCTCCATCTATCACATTTTGGACACAGCTACTCATTTGTAACAAGTCTGCCTGTATGAGCTACGTTTCAAGCCTAGTCTGAAATAATCCTGGAATAGAATCAAATATTTCCACAATAGGGAGCTGATAGAAGAAATGGTTTCTGATGTAAGCTCTTCTCCTGAGGCAGCGGGCACTGCTGAAACAAATGATGAAAAAACAATTCCTGGCCAGTGCTGAAGCAGGAAAATTCAGCCCACACTAGCAATAAATTTATGCATCACTTGGAGCTCCTTCGCAACAGTCACACACAGAGCTGGGAGCCGGGCAAGCCCTGACTGCTGCAGTCGCTCTGGCCGCCCTCAGCGACGGCCACGGGGCCTCGTCTCAGCACAGCTCCTGCCCAGCCACCTGCGACCGCCCTTCCCGGTCGTCACAGGGCGCCTCGTAGCAGGCAGGGCTGGCCGGGACACACCGTGCTCGCTTGGTCCAAGCGCCACGAGGGCAGGTGATTTATACCGCCTGTCCTTGACGGTGGTGAGTGAGTGACAGGAACGCAACGTTCTCAGCATAGCAGCCCAACTTCTGAGCACGCTTGCTTACATTTCCTCCTTTCCAAGCACAGGAGTGGGAATTTCACCTTGTTGTTTCATCCCACAGTTGGCATCAAACGCAGCCCCCACAGGAAGGCTCAAGGGGCTGCCCAGGCCGCACGGGCGCGCGCAGGGGCGCTGCGCCCCCCTCCACAGCAGAGCTCCCAGCTCCTCGCATGGGCCCGGGCTGCTTCTGCGCAAAGAGGAAGAGCTCGATGCACTGCTGTTCTGTGGGTTTCGTAATCCTTCCTTTGCAGTTAAAATATATGTATATATTTTAAAGGCAATGCTCATCTATTCCTTGAAGGCAACAAAATTAACAGTTGTTTAAGATACAGGCAGCATCAGCATCATAAGCGTGTGCAGCAGGTAAAGCCCTCTGAGAAATTTAAGCCAATTCTATACGCTTTCATGTGCATGGGAATATCCTGCTGCCTTTATACCCCTTAGCTAAATACTGATCTTAAGTAAAAAACAGCAGGCCACATTCAGTATTTAAACTGTTCTAAATCCGAGTTAGTTGTACTGGAGAACACAAGGTAGGGTATATGCTGGTCATAAAGACATCAAGAGTAGAAGAATTTGCTGAACAGTTCATAGAAGAGAATTTTGCTCCTTTTTGGAGAGCCACAGAAGGCACAGTGGGCATCCAACACTGACGGGAAGGCATAACCCACCAGACAAGTGCGGACGGTGGAAAAGCAAAAGCAGACAGCGTCTACTGCTGCTGTTTATTAGTGCAGAGAAGAGGCTGGGAGTTGGGAAGGAAGAAAAGAACAGATTTTAAGAATAAACCCAGAAAACACAAGGAAGTGTTTACCACGATAAAGCTTTATAGTGCAATTCTAAGGCTCATTGAGGTATTTTTGTTTGAATTAAAGGGCAACGTGTTCAGGCAACAGCCAGCAAGAGACCTGTTGAAGTATCTCCCACTCTGTCTGCATCTTTATTTTGCGCTCAGTAATTATATTGTTCGTTCTTCCACAGTCCTTGTGCTCCCATCAGCAAGACATTATAGCACAAGGAAGCCGTCCAAAAAAAATCTTTTCTCAAAAACATATTCTTTATGCATAATTGCCCATATGATCTAATTGTTTATATTATACAGAGGTTTTTTTTCAGGAGCCTGCAGAAGTATCTGCTGTATTCATTTCTTTTCTGCCATTTTCCATGCATCATAATCAAAAACACTTCTCCCAAGTGGATGAACCACTCGCAGAAGGTGGAAAGCACTGCTGTTATTTTCTCTGCCATATGCTCCCAAGGCAGTTCCCAGCTCTGCATCAGATTATCCATAAATCCAGACGCTCCATCATCTGTGGCCATCTGAAATGCTGGGTTTGAGGATCTGTTTGTGCATCATGGGTGCCCAGAGCCTGGAAGGCCTTGGATGTGAATGCAAAGATCTCATCCCTATTGCAGCCATAAACACATGTTTTAACATGACCATTTCTTGTTATCAGTGCAGTGACCCAAGCCCCTCAGATGAAAACAAGACAAATCCAAAGTACACAGAGCTGCTGCAGTTTCTCCCTCTTCCACCAACAAACCTCCCACAGAAGCATCTAGACTTTTGCCCCCAAATCTGCAACATGCTCATGGTTTGGGGGATTGTGGCAATTCAACAGCAGGAGGTGGTGTCAGTAACATGATCAGCAAACTCCATTTCCCTTGATCAGATCTGAATTTAAAGGAGGGGAAAAAAAATCAAGCAACAGCAACCATAAACTCTTAAAAGGTTAAGAGATTACACTTGAGGCAGTTATGCTTGCATCCACGGACATGTACTTTCAAATGTGCTGTTTGTGCTGCTCCCCTTACACATCCAAGATTTGCTGCTTCATGGTTACTGGGGTGCCAAGACATTTCTTTGGAAGCTAAATGAGAACATCTGCTACTTCAGCAGCAAAACAAAATACAGACTCAAACAAAATTTCTGCCACAGGAATAGGAAAAAATAACTAACTGAAATGCAATCAGGAAGATGTGTCCCTAGCTAGCAAGCTAGAAAAAAAAAATCTACCAGTGAAAAGGCTTTTCTTCTGCTTCTGTCCAAAGCCTTGGGCAGGATACTGTGTGAGAAACTGTCTCCCTGCAAACCCCACATCCACCTCATTGCTCTCTACCTGGTACCCTTTCAGAAGGGAACTGGCTCTCTGTCAACTGCAAAACAGGTAGAACCTCCTCTGCATGACATCAAGTCACCCTCCAGAGAGGGAGGCACCAAATTCGCACCAAGAATCACACACAAACTGCTTAAGAGATATGTCCGTAATAACATGCATACCAGTGCTTATCTCCCTTCTAAGGCAAGCACTGGAGAACTAGCACAGAACTACTGCCCCGCATTTCCCAAAAACTATTCACTGAACAAAGTCAGCAAAACTGTACACTGAGCAGTGGTGACACATGCGACCACATACTTGTCCACTTCCTCTACTCCCTGCAACAGAGGAGGCTTAATGGTATCATTTGACATATTTGGGTTTCATTAGCATAAACGAGCATGTCCAGACAGGATCACAGCATGCCCAACGCAACACAGATGCTCCAAGCTTTCTGGCAGGGCCGTCAAACAGTGCGACATGCAGCAGCTGAGCTGGCAGCGCGAAGGAGTGGGTCAAGCCATGATGCCATTTGCTTTGGGAAGTCCACTGCTGCTGAAAAAGCACTAATAGTTCTTCTTGCAGTGAAGCTGCATGTGGCTTGCAGAAGGCCAGAAGGGAACATCTGATGCACTTGTTCTGGGCCCAAAGCTGCAGCTTCTGGAGCAGGCGAGGACCCAGAGGAAACAGAACATGAACACATTCAGCTGGAGATCTAAACCTAGCGGAATGCAAAGCCAGTACTCACCAACGGAGCAAATGTCTGTGAAATGGTCCTCACCTTCTTCAGCATGAATCAGGTCATTTTTGCTCTTCTTTATCGCAGCTCTTTTCAACACTGTGTGCAAATTAAAGGGAGAAGACCCCATGAGCATTCAGAGTGGATTCTCTCTCCCTCCCCAACTCCACTCTCCAGGGCCAGCATTTACTTCCCAATGCTGCCTGAAGCTGCCTCACAAGGCTAAGCTGTAGCAAATCAGTCAATCTATAACCTTGCAGGGCCTTCATTTTTAATTGAACCCTCTAGATCCTTGAAGGTTTTCCAGGCAGAATTCTGTGTACTTATACTTCAGCCAAGCAAATGTAGGAAGGCGGGGGAAACTGCTGTAAGCTGCTGGACCTTTTAACACAGAAGAGAGGCCTGGGCAGGGTCACCGAGTGATTCTGAACCCCAATGCGTTATGACATGAGTGCTGCTATCCATTAAGAACATTAATGTTGTTTACAGTGTGCACCATTAAGAAATCAGCATTTGCTGCGTTCCAATACAGTTTACCATATTGCAATGCCCTAAGCAGCAAAAATGCTATGTTGAAAGCAACTCCTACAAATCACTGAACACATTCTTAACAGCACCCACTGTATGATTCCTTCCCTCTGGGGATGTCATAGCTCTTTGAAAACACACTTTGTCCTATAGCATCTTTTGTAGGGAAGCCAAACATCATTACATCATCTTACTAGACAGGGAAAGGGAACTGCACCCTGGGACTCAGAAAGGTCTGCGCTGCTTCGTCCAGGGTGCATGAGATGCAACGCCAGGAACAGTGAGGGCTTTGCACCCGTGACCACCTACCTGCAAACCTTGACAACTATCAGAAAGGAATATGCTGATACAGTTTTCTAACAGCTTAAAAACATACAGTAATTAAGCACCATTTGCTATCAGCAGTAAGACACCCCATGGTGTGGTGATACATACTGTCCAGTGGGCACACACAGCAAATCCATTCACTCTGTAGCAACTACCTTGAGTTCAGGTTCCTCCAAGGGAAGCCCCTCACCCTACTTGAATCTCCCTATGTTCAGAGAAGCATCTGCACTTCTTCCTCAGCATCTAAGGCAGGTCTTATTGCTTATATCACTTCAAGGGCATCCAGGTTCAGAGGCCTCCAAGCTCAAAGAGGACACAATGAACCCAAGATCTGGATCCATCTTGTGCAAATAACCTCTTTTGTTCTTCTCCCACCCAGTTGGCTGAATCCTCAGTCCCAGCCATATCAACTTCGGGGTCCATGAGACTGCATCTGTCCTACTAAATTCCAGCATGTCCTGGACCATCCCAAGCACTGGGACACAACCAACTCTGGTCTCTGATATTAAAGTTTTACAGCACTCCCTGGGTGTAATTGAGCACTTTTTCCTTCACCTTCTCCTCACAAAACTCCTGTAGTTCAGCAATTGGAGCGTGCCAGGAGCAATCTCCATAGGCACTTTGAATGCAATACCCCCATTGTTTTGGAGACCAAGACAGTTTACCTGCATTGATGTAGACTGCTCCATGACAGTCAGCCTCAAGGCCAGAGCCACCACTGGGCTTGTCTAGCTTCTGCTATAGAAGCAGCCTTGATATACCTGAACCTTCATTCCATGGCTATGGCTACCCACCTCCAGCTTGCTCACAGCACCAGGCTTCTCGGACTGCTCCTCCGGATACTCCTCTCGCTGCAGAAGCTGACGGCCCCGGCTACACCCCCATGAGACCAGGCTTCTCCCACCACACACGCAGGGACACGCACACACGCAGAGATGTGCCGCGCGCGCCTCGGCCCTGACCTCGCAGCCCCAGCTCGTCCGTCCCCGAGCCCTTCCCGGGCCAAGGCAGGCCAGTGGCCACGCCGAGGGGCTAATCGGCCCTTCCGAGGCGGCCCTCCCTGACAGTGAATGGGAGGAGAAAAAAAAAGAGGAGGGAAAGGGAGGGGAGGGGAAAGGAGGAGACATGGGAGGACGAAAGATGGTCAGAAAAGGGAGAGGGAAGAATCTTTAACTGAACTTTGACTGACTGTCATATCCTAAGAGCTCAGCAGTCTCGAGGTGCAGGGAGAACCACGGCCACGTTCTCCTGACACCTGCCTCAAAGCTTAGCACCTCCAGTCACCCTGAACGCTGAGGTCACACGTCGTGAAACAGGATCACCACACCCTGTTATGTCTTACTGCTTACAGGTAACAGGGGTCTTAAGTCTTGGTCTCTTAGTCAAATCCTTTTGGAAGCCTCGATTTAGAGCCCTGCCTGCTCGGTGTCCATGGGTTTCTCTCCTGGCATCCACTCTGAGGCCTATCCCCTCCACAGCCTGCGAGCAGATGTGGCCCACAGGTGCCCCGATCATGGCGCAGTCCCACAGACAGCCCAGGGACTCTGCAGACCCCCAGGGCAGATCCCCATCCCAAAACGATGCATCTCATAACTGTTCATATCCACCTAAAACCTCGAAAGACCCAAGAAAAGGGACTCTCTATCCCAGCTTATTCCAAGTGCATGCAGAAGCGCGTTCCTCACACCCTCTTGGTTTCCACGGAAAACCAGGTCAGCGTACAGCACAAACCTCTCACAGAGCACAGGACAACTGCACAGCAAAGCAACCTACCATCCAGAGGAGACTTCTCTTCTGCATTCTTGTCTTCCTCTGCCAGCATCACCTCTTCTGTGAAAGAAAAAAGAGGAAGGCTCAGCTTTGAGTTTCTCTCATTCCCATCCCAAACCCATCCAAGCTGGATGCAGCACGCAGATGTTTATTCCTACTCCACCAACCTCCTCCTGTTGTATCACCCCATCACACTGAGCTTCCACAGGGGAAGAGGAGGAGGTTCATAGAATTGTGTTTCTTGCCCTATGCCCCTCTTGCACAAGGGAAGGAGGTAAGTAAAACCACTGGAAGACTGTAGCACATGTCCTCAATGATTTCCCTCTTCACAGTGAGCCATCCTCTCCAGTTTCTACCCCCAGCTATCACCCACTAGGGATTTCTGGAGAGCAAGAACCCTTCTTCAGAGCCAGCTCCACAGAGGACTTGGGCCTCCTGCCCAGCCACCTTGGAGATACTGCTCGAGGAGCGAAAGATGCTCCAGTTCCATTAAAACTTTTCTGTTTTAGTCAGTAAAATCAGGATTCAGCCTAGAAATGGATCTGCGTCTTACTGCACAGGGTAGAACAAGCAAGACAGGCTGCTGCATGTCAGCCACACTACATGCACCACAGATGACAAAATGTCACCAGACAGGCACTGGGCCAAAATCTTAACCCAAATAAAATTCATGGCAAAGTTCCTTTCAGGAAGAATTTTGGGCCACCACAGTTTAAGCAGTGCAGTGTATGTGAGACATCCACTGTCCATTTTCCATCATCTTCTGTTGCTGTGTACCTCATCACCAAAACAGGAACTTACACTTTCCTGCAAAGGAAGAACCGAGCGTTGGAAAAAGCAAAAGAGAACCACAGAATCCCAGAAGGGTTGAGGTTGGAAGGGACCTCCAGATGCCCAGACAAATCCCCCTGTTTCAGGAGGTTTTAGGGTCTCCTAAAATGACCACTTAGCAGAAACGGAATTAAAAGTTGCATGGTCTTTATGACCACTGAAGCACAGACAGGATGATGATAGGCTTGAAAAACATCCAAAAACCAGGACATCTGCATTGACAAAGACAGTATCAGATCAGCAAGTTCTAGTCTCGGAACAAATGTGAAGGGTCCTGTCCAAGGCTTCACTAGGATACGAGTGACCAACAGGCATCCTTGCACTAAGATTAATGGCTGTTATAGGACTGAAAATAAAGGCAGCCTTATCCTGAAGATCTGGGAAGCTGAACAGGCAAGGCCTCCGAGAAACACGGTGCCAATTCCGTCTCTTTAGCCTGGGGATATAGCACACGATAGGCTTCGAAAAGCAGCACATTACATGGAGTAACTTGCATTAAAAAGGCAGCAGAAGCAAAACAAAAACAAACAAAGAATACAAACCTGAATTTAACTATTAAAGTCACAGATGTATCAAAGAAAAAGTGAATAAAAAAGCATCCATTAGAAGACTCCATCACACTCGCGCAGAAGACTATTTTGTCTCTCTAGCAATTATCCCCCCTTGTCATTTCAGGCACACTGCGGCCTTTTTTTCACTGATCTGGGTGTCTTTTCCAGCCCTATCAAGGGCTTTCTGCTCTTTGTTTCCACAACAGAAAGTTGAAACCTGAGGTTCGCATAGCTTTGATGTTCCAGGGAATGACACTAATGCTATCCAGAGATAGAAGAGAGGTTAAACACACTCCCAAAGATTGCTTACTCCAGGAGAAACGTGACACTCAGAATCAATGCTGTGTGAAAGAGATGGACTCGGACAGAATTAAAATGCAAGAGACATACAACTTGATTAGCTGCAAACTGAAAGACTTTCGGTCTCTGAGCAAAAGCGTTTTCAAATTGATGCATGTCCTTGTAAGATAAGAGAAACGTCTTCAAAAGAATACACGTGAGCTTATAAGAGCTTTACTCTGTGCAGAGACCTTGTGGTTACCCCCCTCTCCTTTAGAAAAGCAGCCTAACAGTCAAATAGCTACTATAGTTTTGAGGAGTTTAATGGAGGAAGCAATGGCGGCAAAAATCATTTCCATAGATTACATTGCTTGGCTTCACCACTTTTTAATTCCTCTGAAAGGCACAATTTCAAATTGACTTGCCTTTGCACAGAGCCAAAAGCAAACATGAAACAAAAGCGAACCCTCAAACTCTGTTTCAGCACACAGGAGGTGGAACAGGACTGGGTTTCCTGATCTTAATTTGATATCGGTTGAAGTGAAGAAGTGGCATGTGGTAAGAAAATGTTATCTCGTGCCTAAAGAAATGACTAAGTGCGAAGCACTGCCTTCTGCATCCCTATCCACTGCATTTTAGTGGTGGGAGGAGCTGGTCCTTTTAAGGAGCTTACTGGAGAGAGCAAGGAGAGGGGAAAAAAAAAAAACACGCATACACACAAGATTTCATTCTGTGACCAAAAAAAAAAGTTAAGATCACAGGTCTTTTTCTAAATAATACATACAATCTGTTTCTGAACAATATACACAGCCAATGTTTATAGTCTCAATATGGGAATTGTAGGAATTACTGACCTACATCCTGCAGGTTGCAGGAAACCATAGGATTCAACCCTTACTTCTGGCCCAGAACTCCCGCTCCAAGATGCTGTTTATACTGCTATAAATCTCACTGAGCTGAAGACACCTGCAGCCTTGCACGACTGTCAGATCAGAATTCAGCCTCCTCGACCATTTCCCTCTGTTCTGCCTCTAGACCTTGCTTGCGCACACAGAGGCCCCCTCATCGGCCAAATCTCTTCTCTCCCCTCCCATGCCCTCCTGCAGCCCCCTCCAATCTGATGAGCACTGCGGGGCCACTCCTGTCCTCCCTCCTTCGCCAGCTGTTGGGTTCCTGAGTGTCACCTGCACCCCACACTATTCAGCATTTCATAGAATCCCAGAATGCTTAGGGTTGGAAGGGACCTCTAGAGGTCATCTAGTCCAACCCCCCTGCACACGCAGGGTCACCTAGAGCACGTGGTACAGGACTGTGTCCAAGTGGGTTTTGAAGATCTCCAGAGAAGGAGACTCCACAACCTCTCTGGGCAGCCTGTTCCAGTACTCTGGCACCCTCACTGTTAAGAAATTTTTCCTTAAGTTTCTGTGGAATTTTTGTTGTTTCAGTTTCCGGTCATTACCTCTAGTTCTGTCAGTGACCACCACTGAAAAGAGGCCAGCACCATCCTCCTCACTGCCTCCCTTGAGGTGCTTATATACACTGATTAGATCCCCTCTCAGCCTTCTCTTCTCCAGGCTGAACAGGCCCAGCTCCCTCAGCCTCTCCTCATAGGGCAGATGTTCCAGGCCCCTGATCATCCTTGTGGCCCTGCGCTGGACTCTCTCCAGCAGCTCCACATCCCCTTGTACTGTGGAGCCCAGAACTGGACACAGTTCTCCAGATGTGGCCTCACCAAGCTGAGTAGAGGGGCAGGATCCCCTCCCTTGCCTCTCGCAATTTATGGCCCTGGAGTGCCCCTAGCCTCCCTATTCTGTTCCTGCTGCTCAGGACACTCTCAAAGAGGCTCCGCTGGGCTGCAATTTCCCATGCTCATGCTCTGCCTCAAGATAAACATGTATGGCATTTTTACATGAAATTGCCTTTGAAAACGTTGAAGCCCTCTGGTTACCTTATGCCTTTGTTCTTCAGCTTCGGTCAAAAGAAACTAGAAATCATGCACCAGAGAAACAGGTAAAAGTAGAAGCTTCAAACCTGGCCTCCTATTTCCAGAAAGGAGGTCAATTCAGCCTTTAAGGAAATTGGTCGGGTAGTAACTTCTTTCCTTGTTTAAGCCTAAATTTAATCTAAATTCAGTACTTCAGCATATTCTAATCTTTCTCTTCCATGCCTTTGTTAAAAGGCATTTGTTAAGTACACTTTCAATTAAGACTTCCTGTATCAAGTATCTCACACAGTCTCACATTACGAATGTCATGGTTTAAAACACCTTGTCATAAATGCTTCGACCAAATATGCCTCCTTGTTCAGCAATCCACATTTAAAGAAGTGTTAGCTACGCCGACTTCTGTATCGGCCGTAGCTGTATTCCTGTCAATTTAGCAACGGTGAATTGGCATCCAAATCTCGTTGGTGTGCCAAGGCACATCTTTGAACATTTCACAAGCACTTTTTATTAGTTCTTTCTTCCCTTTCATAGTACTACAAGAATAAAGGGGAGGGAAAAAAAAAGTCAGTTATCAAGGGCCAGGTTAATGAGGAAGTTTCATTCTTACAGCACAAAGGTGTTTTGCAACCAGTCATTAGTGCAGGTTTGGAACATGCTAAAGTGCAACAGCATTTAAGAGAGAAAACAGAGACCCATGGTTTTCATTTTGAGGAGCGCACGGTTTACAATCTCAGTAAAAAAAAATGGGACAGGTTAAGAAAGGCCAACCCCAAATCTTCTCGGAAGCATTCACCGGATGCAATGCACAGAGCTAGAGATAATAGAACATTATTCAGGCTGCAAAAAGAGAAGGCTGTCAGAAACTTTAAAGGCACTCAAGAGTGGTCAATAAGCAATGAGCACAATGCTAAATTAAAATCATTGATGAGAAATGGGAGATTGTGTACAGATTAAGGAATAATTTATTATTCAAGTACTGTACTTGGTTATAAATTGCTTATAGCCCTTGACGTATAAACAGAGAACAAGGAAATTTCTCCAGCTTCAGGAACTGCTCAGAATATGTAAAATATTACAGAGCAAAAAGAACTGGATTAAGTATCAAAAAGCCTCTTTATGAATCACTGGAATGCAACATTCCTGTCTTCCTACCTTGCATCAAAAATACATGAGAAAAAAAACGACCAAACAAAATGCTCAGAGACAGGTACTATAAATATTAGAAACCTGGAGAGGCTTCTTTCAGAAGAGGGGGGATTCAAAAGACTGGGTCTGTATTCTTCAGAGGGTAAAACATGATGAAACACACATCAGCAGCAGAGAAGTAATAATCATAAAAAAAAAGTTTGTCCTGATAACTCCCACCATGAAGCATCAGGACAGACTTACTGTAGCAGAAATGCAGTATATTTAAAATAGAAGAAAGTTATATCTATATATTTAATCAAATGAATTGTTAATACTTGGAACTCCAAGGATTTTCAAATTAAATTTTCCATGAATAACAACAATTTCCAGACATTAACATTACAATACATTGGTATTAACATTACAAGTTAATACCAAGAGCCTTGGTTCTTTGTGCATCCTGCAAGCGCCATCTCACTGGCTGGGGCTGCTGTGAGATTCCTCCCCCGCTGGACGCACACGGCCACCAGCTCCGACTGCTCCTCTCGCTCTGCCAAGCAGTTGGCTCTGGCCATCACCCCACATTTACCAGACAAGGTAACACTCATGTAACCCACTGAATTCACAGCTGAAATCCTGGCCTCGTAAAAAGAGATGGCAAATCCCCCTTGACTGCACAGTGCCAAATTTCAGTCCCCAAGTTCTAAACTCTGGATTTCTCAGTTTTAGCTAGCCTTCGTGTGGCCTTTTGTATTTAAAGATTTACCAACCATGCTAAGTTCACTTTTATTATCATTATTTAGTTGTACAAGGAAGAATTTTTTTGTTGCATTCCTACTGTATTTTCAAGAGTGTTAAATAGCATGTTTTTATGAATCCTTGATTTGGCCATTTTGCATACACTTTCCTATTCTATATATTCTTCTGGACCCTGTGTAATTAGATAAAATAGAAATGGCAAGCACAATAGCCATTCATTCCCACAGGAATGCAAAGCTTGGAGAAGACTGCTTGCTGTATGTTTTATAGCTTCTCCAGCTCAACTTTTGGACAAGTTCAGCTAATGACCTTTGTATAGCTCTTCTGAGCACACAGGCATCAAAACGATTCAAAGCAATCTCCATCTCTGCCAGGGAGTTCTCATCTTTGTTTTACTGATAGGGAAACTGATTCAGAGATGAGAAGTCACAGGGGCCCTAAGAGCAAGGTGGCAGGAGAGCCCATGCACAACCAAGTCTGTCTCAGCTCCAGCTGCTGGAGCAATCATTAATTAATTTGAATTTAAGCAAGTCCAAATGCTGTAAGCAAATTAGAAGACAAGTTGTAAATGGAAAGTGAATGGTTCTTATAGAACCTATGTAGACCTACAGAGCCACAGAATTAAAGGGGTTGAAGTGAGGTTAGCTAATTGAGAGCAGTTGCTGTTGAACAGTCACAGTGAGCAACAGTCTGTCAATACAATTGGCACTCAATTGTCACCTTGGATGGTGCTGTTGGAAAGAATGGGCTCAAGCCACTATATAAACCACTGCTCCTTCCTCCTATTTTACATTTCAGTGCTTTAGTCTTCTTCCTCTCTGGCCACACTGTCAAACCTCACATCCAAACCTCATCCCTTGATGAGGCTACTGCCTCGGTGCTCTCTCGGGGGAGTTTGCAGAGGGCAGAGGCCCACATCCAGGTGGGCAGAGGGGCAGAGCACTTGAAAGAAAGCAGAGAAGCAGCAGGAGCCATGTGGAAATGCCGCTCCGAACACTGGCACCCGGCTGTGCACACCGCGTGGGTGCTGGAAGCCCCAACGCCAGGCAGGGCTGCCTGTTGCGGAAGGCCAGCAGGGCAGTTTTGCCCACGGAGTGCATGCAGTCAGTTGCTGTGAGCACACGATTTGCACAAGCACATTTTAGTAAGCCAGGCTTCCAGCATCAATACGGATTGCAAAACCAGGACTGATAAAAAGCCTTTTTGGTATCACACCAGCCCACAGTCTAGGAGGAAGAGACCCACAGCTCTGCCAGGGGACTGGTGCCTGACTGCAGCTAAGCCACTGTCTACCCCTGGAGCTCAGTTTCCCTGTTTGTAAAAGGCAACAATGAGGCTGTGCTCCCTTTCAGCAGTTACCTGAGTATCAATTCCGGACATTTATCTCACCACTCAACAACACTCAGACATTCGAGCTCTGCAGAAACGCAAGCAAGGGAGCAAACAAGCAACAAAGGTTTCCTTGATGCTACACTGCAGTTATGTCCGTACAGATTGGCTGCTCTATAATCCAGGATGGCTATCAATAACCTCTGTCCTCAGCTAATCAGGAAAAGAAAAGATGCTATTTTTATTAGGTGCATTGGGTGTTTGTTAAAGTTGATTATGGTTTGCAATATACTGCAATTTTCAGTTATAATAATTACAAAGCAGCGTTAATGTCCGCCAAGGCAAGTTTCATGAAAGTGATCTCTGTGGCTCATAGGAACAACACTCCAGTGTAATTTTCCAGTGGTACTCAGAGAGGCTCATAAAATAGCTGTGTAAAGTAAATAAAATATAAATGATCATATTAAGGAACAGTTCCCTCACCGTGCAGCCTGTGGGGAACAGTCTATCACTTTTTGTATTGTGCAGAATTAAGACAATGCTTTGATCCCAGCCATAAAGTTGACCCATCTCCTTCAATTTTGCTTGGCCAGAGACAACTCTAGTGTTGACAACAAAAACAACAAGTGCTGGCTGATCCCTATCTACTCTTAACTTGATGGCCAGCAACACCGAGGATTCATTAAGGGAGCCGTAGTTCTCACCAAAACTAGACTGTCCAGGCCACAAAACTCACCAAAACAACATCTGATCTCTCTCCTTACCTGCTTTGAAGATCCACTCCAAATAGCCATTCAGTTCTCGTTCAATTTGCTGTTGTCTACGGAGTTTCAGGAAAGCTCGGCGATTTTCTACCCTCTCTCGTTCTTTGGCAAATTCACTATAGAGAAAGAGAAAAAAAAAAAGAAAGCTTATGTCACCAAAGGCTGGGAAAACACGCAGCTCCTCTTTCGTCTTTCGGATTGTATTTATGAAGCTCTGAAGCTGATAAAGCCAGCAGGGAGTGGGAACTATGACATTGCACGCTACGTGTTCCTGCCCAACAAGCTGGTTCTTTTATTCTACCCCATCGTTTCTCTGTATCTCTCCTCTTGAAAGAGGACTACAGACTGTCACGTGGACACACACTTGTGTTCGGTGGCCACACGACGTGGAGCACCACAAGGCCCTGGTGCACAGCCGGGCGCCCTCATCCAGTCCTACAACACAGATCACCTCTAACACTGCAGGCTGTTGCGCGCTCTGCCCAGCACCACTCAGAACCACTTCCCCACTGCAGATCCTCCCGGAGGAGCACAGCACCGCTGTGCCACAGAGACACCAGCAGCCTTTTCTTTTCCCCAGCTTCAAGCTCAGGTCCTGCAGTTTTCCAGCCCCATAGAAAGCTCCATGGGAGCTCCCAGCCTGGAGTTTTCCCAGCTTCGAGCTGACTTTAACAAAAGGTCAAACGAGCTACAGGTGAGGAAAGATGCTTTTTTAAGCTGGTGGAACATCCCCCATACTTTGGGTTGAGGTTAGAAACAGTTACCTTGCTACGTGCCAAAATGACATGGAAAGCAAGAATATGGACACAAATCCTTAGAAAAGTATTTTACAGGAGAGTCAGAAAGCAGCCAGATCACAGAAACCAGGAAAAAAACATCGAACCATCTAATCCCCTAACCAGCTTTTACAGGAATATTCTGTGTGTACATCCTACAGTGCAGTTTGAGATGATGCAGAGATGATAGCGCAGCCCCAGCCCTGGGCCCTGCACCGGGCTGTTCCCAAGCTGGCTGGAGTCCGCATGGAGCAGCCTGGAGAGCTCTGCGCCATCCGCCGCACTCAGAGCTCGGGAGCAGCCTCTGCAGCCCCAGGCTCTGGAGGCCCTTTCTGAACAGCAGCTGGAGCAGCAGCGACTCCCACCTCTACCACGTTTGGTTAGAAGTGGGGCCAACCTTTTGTCTCTACACATACCATGGGCTCATTCACCCTCCCATTTGGCACGTTTGCTTTGCTGGGTCCTTCCTTGCAAACCTTCATTCAACAGCTGTGTCTTTCCACATGTCCCTCCAGGAAAGTCAGCAAGGAGTAAGAGATGGGAGGGAGAGGAAAAAAATGGGGGAAAGGAGTTGCATGTCCGGCAGCAGCTTTATATCCACAGCTTATCTTCTGCCCTTCAAATCTGATGTTTTTGCTTATTTTGGCAGGACTGTCTGACCCATGAAGAGGGGCTGGCCCAGTGTGGAGACGCACACAGACATCAGCTGCAGACCGGCCTCTCCTGGCGCTCAGCACGCGTCACTTGTGCTTCGGGAGCCTGCCCGTGTTGGCTGCAGTGCTCGTTTGCTCCCCGCTTCCTCTCTAATGTTCTCATTTCTGGGTCAGCGCCTGCTAGTCGGGGCCACAGACCTCCTCTCAGCTTTGATTTCTCTCTGGAGAGGGAGGAATGAGATCAGACAGCACTTGGTGGCAACATGCGTTTGAACTGCCAGATACGGGGGACGTGGTGGGGAGGAGGGGACACGCTGCCTGCATGATGGGGTTGTTTCATGGCAGGTTTCCTAGCCTCAGCCCGTGCCAGATGGGAGCAGGAGGCAATGCCCAACGAGGAGTGTAAAAAGGGCTGCAGAGCGCAGAAAGAAGAGGCGATGGCCCCGGCACTGCCTCCCTCGGCCCTCAAGAGCATTCAGGGGAGAGCTCTGTTTGCAAAACCTTTCATACCCTCCAAAATCCTGCCTGGCCTAAGGAAAGCAGAAGCTAACAAGGACGTATCTCTTTAATCTCATCTTTCAGCAGGTAATAAAATAAGGTAGAAACTGTGTTAACAGTTTGTGTTACAAACATTCAGCAGTTTCTGAGCACTCAGACACTTTTTGCACCACATTGCTGCGGTTACAGCTACCTGCACCCACCAGAAGCAGCTGCGGGAAGGGACAGGTCTGTCCCAGTGTCAGGCAAAGAGCCATCACAGTCCCCAGGAGCTTCAGTCCTGGCCTCTGGTTCTCATGTGTGGCACTGCTGTAAAGTTGGGAAAGAACCTGCAGGAGAACACAGCACCTCAGAGCTCACGGAGCATCTCCCGAGTGCTACGCAGCTCCAGCCAAACAGCCTGGGCTGAAGGCTGGAGGGTGTTAACACAAGGTCTTCTTGGTGAAGAAATACATCACACTTGCCCTTACTATCTCCAGAGATCTGATAAAGCTGAATAGGTTTATAGGTTTGGCAATAGGTTATGTTTTTCCTTATGAAATATTCTAATAAAAATATGCTTCTCCACTGTATGCATCACCATTTAAAAATCAGAGCATACCCCATTTGAAGTAATTGAAAAAAAAATCAGAATTTCAAGAAATGTGCAGAACATTTTCAAAGAAAGGGAGAAAAAATCCACCAAAACACCGCATTTCATCTATAAATATTTTGGTTGAAGTTTTCAGACAGTTCTAAATGAGAGCAACCAAAATCCCAAAAGGAGTCATCGGTAGCACAAAATAAGTTATCAATTATTCAGCATAATTACTATTTATGCCACTGACATCTACAAAACTCCCTCATCACCAGAAGCAAAACCTGAGCAGAAAATATGTGGCCTCCTCCATAACTTTCTTCACAGTCGGTCCTCCTTACTTCAGTCAACTCCAGAATGAGGAATATCGAAAGAAATTTCACCTGTTCTTGTCCTTTGCTCCCAAAGCCCCCAAAACACTCCCTTCTCAGTACAGCAAGAAAATATATTGGGAGGAAGAAAGCTGTGAAGGTTTGTGGTCTTGCATACAGCACAGGAAGCCCCGCTATAGGGGAAGCTGCACTCTACCTACAACGCAGTTTAGTTACAACATGACAACCATGAACACCTGATCCTACCGAGACAGCAGGCACAACCAGAGACCAAGGCAAGGACGTTCATCATGGGGAACATATACATAAACATATCACATTTCTCAGGAGTAGTTCATGCTTCAAATTTGAAAAATGCAAGATTGTTGCTTGTCACCTTGATAGGTGAAAGATTAAAACAAATTACAGTGTATATGTATCTTAGAATAACCACTTAGTCCCTTGAGTTTCCCCAACCAGGCAAGAAAGAGGCAAGGCCAGTTCATGAGTAAACATCAGGGTCAATAAAAGTTTATTATGCAATGAAATCCTTACAAGTACTTTATCCATCCCAGTCTAAAATTCAAAAAGTGTTCCAGCAACCAAAAAGAAAAGGTCTTTCTCTCCCAGGTTTCTGATGAGCATCCCTAGGCGAGAGCAAAGCACCAAGCCAGAAGCACCGGGGATCATGTTTCTACAGCACATTCCCGGGCTCAGCTTCAACCAGTCTGCCCTGAGACCTAATCACATCTCTCCAACTCAGCCCTTCAGCTTTCCTCCTTAAAAAATGGACAAAACCATTTCCCATTGAGAGCCGCGTGGTGGAGGGAGATTACTGTCATTGCTACCACTAATAGTGAGGATGATTAGCAATCATGATAATAACACAGGTAATTAGTTCCTCATTCAGAACAATATAAGCTACACAATTCTCATCAAAACCCTGATCTGAAAATGAAAGAACAGCTTTCATCTACTGCTGTTCAGAACAAGTAAAAAGAAGCACAAACCTCAGAAGGATTTTACCAAAGACACCCAGGAGTTGAAAAGGATGTTTAGACTTACTGAAAAGGATGTTTAGACTTATGTCTAAAACCAAATACAATCAGTTTTAAAATAGGTTTTACTTCCAGTGCTTCAAAGGAAAGACTGAAGACGTAGGGCATTTAGGGATGCAGTCCTGCCTGAGAAAATACAGCCCTCAGGAACCAAGAGGACGAGACAAATTCAAGTGAGGGAGATGACAGAAAAGGGACCAGCAGGACAAGCAGATGTGCAACTGCCCGGGCTCCAGGTGGAGGAACAGAGCGGCTGAGCCAGGAGGCTAAAGCTACCAGCACAAGGAAGAGGCCCGCCGCCCAGCCGCCCCCAGCCCGGGAGCACCCGCGCGCACAGAAACACGGGGCTGCGCTTCAACAGGGGAGGTCTGTACCCCACCATTCCTCAGACTAACTAAACTGTGGGATATAAAGGAGACATAGCTTACACTCATTTTTTTTTCCTTTCACACTCAGGCCTCCGCTTCCAATGAAAAGGTGATGATGCCTTGGGGTTTGTGGCCTAGTCCAAACTCAGCCACATCCCTGCGGCCGGGGCCCAGCGCTGCACAGCCAGCGCTCCCGGGCTCCTGCCACCCCACGCTCCTGCACAACCCAACGTGCCGCCTTCTACCTGCAGCCCCCTCTGCTAGAGCCCATCTCTTCTCCAAAGGAGGTGCCCGTCATCTCCACGCTGCGTGGTCAGAGTGCCTGGCCCTGCCCCAGCTGCAGAGCCACCTTCCTGCGGCACCATCCCTGGCTAAGGCCCTGCAGAGCCCCTCACTGCTTGTTTCACCACGGATTTGTCTTGTTAATATTCTTGCACTTCGTTCGCTAACCCCATTAGCATCCCAGAATTTACAGAATAGCAGATTCTACCTCCAGGGAAAGAATTTGTTCTGCTGGTTCATATCTCTGTATTTTGTCTTCCTGAAGTGTTATAAATCTTTTATAAGGGGAAATCTCTACCAAAAGCAACCAGAAAAGCCCAACACCTTTAAAACTGTTTATACACAGGGACACAAAGCTTTGGCTGTGCTAAACAGCATGAACAGAATGCGAAACCCTTGGAAATCTCCCAGAGATTGAATAATTTAGCAAGGCCCAGCCTCAGCCCCCTCACTGCCCCGAGACACCAGGGGTGCAGCTGCCAGCGAGCAGGAGTCCTGCTGTGAGGACACGGCCACAGCCCCGCACTGGCCCGGCCACCTCAGAGCAGCCACTCTTGGGTGTCACCCCCAGAGGCTGCTCCTGGAGAGGAACG